TACTGTATTTTTTTTATTTAAATCACTTTTAAGTGATGAGTTGTTTTCCCAGTCACCAAACATTTGTGTACCACGAGCCCTTGTAAGACATTCCAGATTTGAGCTGTAGATAACAAGAATAGACAATAAATCCTCAGTCTTTGTATCTGCATTTAGACCTTCAAAGAGGGACAATAATCACAACTGGGGTGAGAAATCCATGGGCTCTTGAATTATTGTGGGTGCAGCCAAGCCATCAATCTGAAAATGCCTGTTGCGACAACGCAACCAAAAGCGATAACAAGTCCCTTAGTTTCCATCAGTATTATGATTGGACCATAGGCAGTATATGGACAAGCGAAACTGGCATCTAGAACCACCTGTGAACCACTTTTAAGGTACTTTTTCTAATATATGCAGAGATGGATTTTGCCAGGGCCAAGATCCATCATTTTGTCTCATCTCTTTCTTGCCCTAAATCTGTTTCCCAAACCCTTTTCAGTCCAGTCAGGGCTCCTGTTTGGTTGCTAACTAATGCCTTATATATCAAAAGAAGGCTTTTGCAGGTATAACAAAAGGATATCATCTTCAAACCCTCAAGCTATGTCATCGTGTCATAGTCTTAGAGGGCATGTAATTTAAACCAATTTCTGAACAAGAATGGGGATGGGATTTTACTCGGGAATCAGCACAAACTCTTTTTGTTAACATACAAAAAAATCAATACGAACTGCTCTATGAATGGTACATGACTCTACAAAGATTGAGTAAAATTCACATTATCTGTGATAGAAAGTGTTAAGAGATGTGTACATTTGAAAGCAGATATTAGGGTTGTCATACATCTGGAGGTTCCTGGACATATCAGTCGTCATCAGTGTATGGGCAGAAATCAGTGCAGTATCTGGGAAAATGGCAGTCCATCTTGGCAATACCATTTTTGCTCAACAACTTTTCTGAACAGATTTTCACTGTTTGAAATATGGCAACCCTAGCAGATCTGGAACATATTTGGTGGACCTTTCCGTTGATTAAAATCTTATGGGGAGAGGTAGTAAAGATAATATTTTTAATAACATTTTGCACTTTATTACAATTTATTATTGTATTTAGACCCAGAAATAAAACATAAAGAGTTAATGGGGAATTTAATAGTAACTTTCTGCATGCTTGTTGCATCATCATCATCATCATCATCATCATTTATTATTTATACCCTGCCCATCTGGCTGGGTTTTCCCAGCCACTCTGGGCAGCTTCCAGCAGAATATTAAAATACAATGATTTAATGGGGAAAATAGGTCACCACCCACAGTGAAAGAATGTTTAACAAAAATTTGGAAGGTTGCCATTCAAGGTATAAGCTTAAGGACCTGATTAGAGAGAGAGAGAGAAGGCAGACAAGAAAGATGAAATTTTAAAGATAAATGGAAATTCCTTATTGAGTATAAATGTAAGTATGGACAAATATAATAGCATTTTACTATGCAGAAAAGCTAAGTATAAATATAATTATACTAAGTTAGTTATTGGTATGAGCTTTCATGTGCATGCACACTTCTTCGGATATACCTATTCTTCAGATACACCTATTTGAACTTAGTTGGTCTCTAAGGTGCTACTGGAAGGAAGTTTTTTAATTTCGTTTTAACTCCGGCAGACCAACTATAATTATACTGTATTTCTTGTTCGTATGTATTTTGCTATATTGTGGATTTTTTAATTTATATGTATATATGGGATCTAGTAAAGTTTGTTTTCTTAAAAAACACACACACACACACACACACACACACCAATAAAACAGTTAAAGAATAGTTGCGGGGGGACGGGACTCCCACAGTCATTGAACAAATGCTTCAATGCTGCTGCCCCACAAATGTGTAATTTATTTTGGACTCCTATGAACCCACAATTGTGTGAGTGGGAGGTGGCATATAAATAAAAATGTGGAGATCCAGGTTGCGAGAAGGAAGAGTGGTGAGCTTTAAAGCTGGCCATCTTGGTATCTTTAGATGCTCTAAATGTGCATCTTGGATTGTAGCCACAGAGGTGATTCTAGGCGGGACACTTCACCATCTTAGAAGCAGACATACCTTCTCTGGCAATAGGATACATCCTCTGTGAGCACACTCCGTGCTGCTTGTCAGGCTCTGACAGTCATTCATAACCAGATCTTTCGGGACATTTCATTTCATCTCCTATCACAAGCCCTCAACGAAAGCTTCCAAATGTCAGGGGAAACATCCGCACCCCTTGAAGGGGAATTCGCTGTCCCTCTTCACTCGGGAGAAGAAAGAAAAGAGAACACAATAGAATTTTCTTTTGGCAGAATTGAATAATTCCTCCCCCTGCCCCTTTGAGGAGCCTTGAAGAGACAATTGGCGACAAATCCATGGGAAGGGGATAGCTGTCTGGTACAGTTAAGTGCACCCCATCTCCCATGTCCTGCCCCCCCTTGTCAGAGCCATTCAGTTTAACTCGATGGCTTTCTCTGTGCAAGATGTCCATGTGGTGACGTGCCTTTGGTAACCTCATCAGACAAGTTCTCCATTCTCATAAGCGTACTCAATATGTTATTTCAAGGTGACATAGAAGTTCAGGGCAAGACCTGACTTCTTCTTCTTCTTTTCTAAAGGCTTGATGGTTTTGTCAGGGCGTTGATGGGCAGTGAGTGGGTCATCCCCTAAAGGGAGGAAGTGTTTCCACAACATCTCATGGTTCAAGACAGTATTGTGATCGTAGGGCTGGACTTTTGCAGCCTTCTCTTATCTGCCGTACCTGAAGCTATTCTCTGACTGAGGGTCCTCATTTCTGGCTAGACTGAAGTTCAGAATTGGGGACTGAGAATTCTCTGGGAATAACACTGACTGCTCGCAAAGGATATGGCTTTGTCAGTGGTGGCACCCTAATTATGAAATGCCTGGCACCTTTGTTAAGATTCTTTTTTTTTTTTTTGCCAGGTGGAAACCTTTCTATTTGATTGTCCTTGGCCTTTTAGAATTGTGTTTCTGCAAGGGTTTAAATGCTGCCATGCTGCTAGTGCTGGTTTATAAGCCGGAGATTTACTAGATTGGTTTTTAATGTGTTTAACTGCACTCTGTGAATTCTCTGAGGGCTCTGTGGACTGGGTAGGCCAATAAGTGCTCTAAATAAAGATGTGTGAAAAGGAACCGGGGGTGAGGGTTTGGGGAGAGAAGCTGAACGAAAAGGTCTCAGGGTGTGTTCACATTACTGTTTCAGAGTGCAGCGAAGTTGGGTTTCCCCATGGTGTGTTACACAGCCCTTTCCCCTTTAACTGTTCACACCAGTATGGCTTCGTTAGTGTCAGATTAATTTCTTCTTCTTGTGCGACCTTTCGCAGGAGCAAATGCTTACGAACAACTAGAGAACCCGTGCAAAATTTGCGCAGACCTCTGGTTTGTTTTCCTTGTGTGCACCATTCTTCGGATGCAACCCTGTAGTTTGGATCAAAAGTGTATTTGGGATATCTTGCCAATGATTACAAAGCATGCATTGAGAATAAAGCTGTGACCATGACCAGGAGTGCTAACTTGGCCCTGCGATTGTGGGTGCCTGGGGCCGTGGGTGCCATGCAGCGTGCATGTCCCTGGCACTGAAATTTATGGGTGCCTGGCTCCTTCATGGGGAATTTTGTGGGTACTCAAGCACCCAGGGAGGTGGCACCTATGGCCATGACTGATGCTGTGAGCCTACCATCAGATCATGCCTTGGCAAGTGAGTCAGGGAGTGGGGAATTGGAAACCACCTGAATAGAGATACAGTGGCAGCTCTCCTCCATCTCCTTGGAGTGAGCATGATGTTCGCTTCAGCTTCTTCCCACACTGATCCAGTCGTTTAATAGAGGAAGGAACCAGGTGGGTGGGCCAAGATACCTGGTTCCTTTCCACATAAAGGTTGTAAGCTGATGTTCATGTAGAACAGGGTTTCCCAAACTTGAGTCTCCAGCTGGTTTTGGATTACAGCTCTCATCATCCCTAGCTCGCAGGACCAGTGGTCAGGGATGATGGGAATTGTAGTCTAAAAACAGCTGGAGACCCAAGTTTGGGAAACCCAGATGTAGGAAGCAACCACATAATGACCTAGTTGCCACAAAGAGCAGCTAAAGTGGTTAAACTTGTTTGTGGAATATACCCCTTTGAACATGTGAAGTTACTTCTACCGAGCTATTGCTCTGTTTATTTCATGGGGTGGGGAAAACTGTGCCCTTCCAAAAGTTGCTGGACCACAACTCCCATCATTCCTGGCTCCAGCTGATAGGAGGTGACTCCCAACATCTGGAGGCCCACAGGTTTCCCAAGCCAGTTTTTAGCTCTATGTTGTCTCCTTCTGGCTGGCAGCTGCTTTCTAAGATCTCCAGGCCAGCTGCCTTTACCAATATTGTTGCCTGAGATCCTTTTACCTGAAGGTGGTGCAGATTAAAATCCAGTGCCTTTTGCATGCAAAGCAGGTGGGAAACCACTGAGCTATGGCCCCTGAAGAATGTAGGTAAAGAGTTACATGGTTGAATGCTCCTCCATTTGAAGGGGGGGGGAAAGGTTAGTGAAATGTCTCATTCTGCCTTCCTGGCACTGAAACAGCCATTCAGGAGCCAGACAAGGAGTGCAGTAAGTGGTGTTGCTACCACTGCCATAGCAACAGCAGCATTGGATCGTGGGGGGGGGGGCATTCATGCACTGGCAGAGGGTGGTCAGCAGCACCAGGCTGAGGGGTCCCTGAAGACTTGGTGCCAGCCCTGACTATGGGCCCAGCTCCTAGTTTGGTGGATCACTGCTAGATTGATTTGTTTTACTGTGGTGTTCATATCCGGAAGCTTGGCTTGCAGGAGGAAGGTTAGGAAGGGTGGCTATTCTGCATTCACTTTCTGCCAGTGGTGACCCACTGAAGATCACAACAGATGGCAAAGGTTGCCTCCAAAGCGGTTGTTTAAATCTTGCCCATCTCCCACCCTCCAAAGAAAGTGCCTCTTATTGCAGAGGCTGCCGTTTATATGCCTTCAGGGCTTTCCCCCTTTCCCCCTCTTTTATCAGGGTAAACCTGGCCCTTGCCTACACGGAGCTGACCGAGGAGTTGTGTCGCCTGAGGAACCTGAGTTCTCTCCAAAGCCAGATTCTCCGGACGCTTGTGCAAGAGCAGGCCCTCAATGGTGGTGAGTGGGGCGTGGGGGAGGGAAAAGACAAGGGAGGCACTCCACCTGGGGCTACCTTTGAAGGTGACCTGGAAACTACAACTAATCCAGAATGTGGCAGCTAGACTGGTGACTGGGAGTGGCCGCTGAGATCATATAACACTGCTTCTGAAAGACCTGTATTGGCTCCCGGTACATTTCTGAGACCAATTCAAAGTGTTGGTGCTGACCTTTAAAGTCCTAAACGGTTTCAGCCCAGTATACCTGAAGGGGTATCTCCACTCCCATCATTCTGCCCGGACCCTGAGGTCCAGCTTCAAGGGCCTTCTGGCAGGTCCCTCACTGAGAGAAGTGAGGTTGCAGGGAAGCAGGCAGAGGGTCTTCTTGGTAGTGGCACCCACCCTGTGGAACACCCTCCCACCAGATGCGAAGCAAATAAACAACTCTCTGACTTTTAGAAAACATCTGAAGGCAGCCCTGTTTAGGGAAGTTTTTAATGTTTGATGTTTTATCGTGTTTTTAATATTCTGTTGGGAGCCGCCCAGAGTGGCTAGGGAAACCCAGCCAGATGGGCAGGGTTTAAATAATAAATTATATAATATTTGCCCATAATGGCTCCACCTCCGCAGTTGAAGGCAGCTGGAACTGGAAACCACGGGAGGGGAGAATGCTCTTGTCCTCCTGTTCTGGTTCCTCATTTCCCACAGGCTGGCCCCCTTGAGAACAGATGGACCATTGGCCACGATGCAGCAGGCTCTTCTTAATGCTCTTAAGTGACCTCTTTCTGGTACAAATCAGACGAATGGTGCTGGAGGTGTTTTGCTGGCTGGTTTTGCAGACAGCTGTTTGGGGGAGTGGGGAGTGCATCCTCTACTGCTTCTCAGTGTTGAAGCAGGATCCTTCTCTGACTTGCTCCTGCTCTGTTCCAGGTCAGCGGCACTCTCCCCATTCGCAGCGCCATTCCCCCGCTCAGCAGCGCCGATCTCCGGGTCCTCAGTGCTCGTCTCCAGCGCAGCAAGGGAGATCATCTTCTGTCCCTCAATGCCAGTCTCCGGGCCTGCAGAGACGGTCGCCAGCGCCGCCCCCTTGCCAGTCCCCCGCGCATCAGCGCCGTTCCCCAGCGCCGCCCCCTTGCCAGTCCCCCGCCTCGCAGCGCCGTTCACCTGCCCCACTGCCCGCCCAGCCTCCTGCCCCGCAGCGCTGCTCGCCGGGCCCAAATTGCTCCTCCCCCGCCATCACCTCGCAGCACAGGTCGCCGGGTGGCGAGAGGAGCATCGTGGATCTGGCCTACTCCAAACCCTTGAGCCACCACATCAAGGCGAGCTTCCAGGGTCGCCGGAGCTACTCGGAGGTGAGCGATGCGGCTATGTACCAGCAGAACCGCTCCCTCTGGCTGCAGCCGGAAGCTTCCACCTTACCAAAGCACCGTCCCTACGGCGAAGTTTACGCCAGAGACGCCTTCGAGGAGCACTTGCGCTTTGAGAAGCAGTCCTCGGACGAAGACGACTGGGCCCTCCCAAGCCCCCCCAGCCCTGAAGCCGGGGGCATCCGCTGCGCCTCCTTCTGTGCAGGGTTCCCTATCCCCGACACCTCCACACACCGGACTGATGCCTCGTACTCCAGGGCTGAGCATGCCCAGTCCTGGCCTTCAATCAATGTAAGCAGCACCCAGTGAAGTTTGTATTCCATCATTCCAGTTTAAATGCACCATCCGGTCTCATGGAAGATCATCCACACAGATATTCTTATATTGCTTATTTTATTTATAAATTAAGTTTTGTTTTTGTTTTAAAAAATATTTTCAGGGGTTTTTATAATGACTATTTGAATAGGCAAAAGACTTGAGTCCCCATCAGCACCATACATTTAAAGCAGCATTATATCACTTTTTTAAACAGTCACAGCCCACCACAGAGAATCCTGGGAGCTGTAGTTTGTTAAGGATGCTGAGAGTTGTTTGGAGACCCCTATTCCCCTCACAGAGCTACTACAGTCCCCAGAGTCCCCTGGGAAGAGGGACTGGTTTTTAAATTGCTCTGGGGGTTAAAATGGTACTCTTCGGCTTTAAGGGGGCTTAATACTGTAAATGGGTTGGTGAAATATCGCAAATGGATGTTAGCAGCAGTGGTGGGTGCGCTTTAACATACTGGAATTTCCCCGGAAAGAATATATCCAGAATAACTGGGAAAATACAACGTATTGTATTTTGATGACAAGAACGTCGTGTGTGAGCACGGCATTAGTTCGTGTGGTTGAGTGTATAGCCACATCACCTCTGTAGCAAGAGGGGTGGGGAGCCATTTTCAGTATTCCATTCTGGACAGCCTTCTGAAGACCACATGTCAGGGGTGGGCGGAGCCACAGGCAGAAGTGGGCGGAGCAACAGATGCAGATTCTGTCATTGTACAGGAGACTAGTTTCCATTCACATTCCCAGATACCTCTCTATCCTCCATCCAGAGATGCGAGAGGATGCGTTCAAGCCAAGCAAAAGCATTTGCAATCGGGTGCAGGGCTAGTGAGGCGTGTGGCCTGCGGAGTGGGGGTTTATGGTTAGGGAGAATTCTGAGGGCCATATAGAGAAACCTGGAGGGCCACATTTGGCTCCTGGACAGAGGTTCCTCTCCCCTACTAGAGCACTCCCCTTGTTTTAATATTCCATTTTGTAGGAGGGGGGTAGGGTTTGGGGATGTTTCTCCAGCACTTCATCACTTATGAGGAGTGGCAGCAGAGGTCATCCAGTTGCCTGGAAGAATCAAGAGGTTTTGGGTCCTCCTGGAGGAGAAGCCAATGAATCGTTTTCTTCATCAATTGGAATGAGCATGATATGATGCCTAGGTTGTGTGCAAGTCTTCCAGTTTTATTTATTTTAATTGAAGGGAAGGCATTGGCTGGAGGCCCATCCGCCGTGCACCACCTAATTTTAACAGTGGGTGTGGAGGACAAGTGGTTGCTTCAGGTTAAAGGAAATTATATTACACTGATAATTGCGTTAAGAATTAACAGAAGCAAAACCAATAGCAAATTGGAAAATACCAGAGGGGGAATGTGAAAGAGGCCCTTGTGTTGGAGCATCCTAAGTCTTCTGGAGTAATGAAACGTTAAGATATCAAACGTATTTTCATTCTGTATTTTTATTCCCAAATTGTCTTGAGTGCAGGTGCTCTGGTTCTCAAAAGTCATTCATAAATGTAAACTTTTGATCTGAACTCACAAGTAGTTGCTTCTATATAGAAACACACCATTTAAATGAATACGTTGTTTACAATTTTATACCTGCAGTCAATATAGCAAGCAATATATGATGCTACCATATTATTATTATTATTATTTACTCCCACTGGGCTGTGCAGAGGATTCTAAAAATCACTGTTCAATGAGCTGTACATCCCCTGTGGGAGTTTCCCAGATACATCCCCATGTGCTTTCCCTGCCGCGCTGCACCCCCTGCCTTTTCTGTGACAGAGGCCGATCAGTTTCTGCAACAAAAGAGTTTCCCTCCCACTCTTTGTGACCAGCCAAACCCTTCCACAGAGCCACTGCTGATCAGGCACATATTAGGAAGGATCCAGCTTTTTATCCTCCAGAACACTTAAGAGATCTACTTTTAACAAGCAATTAATCTTCTTAGATTTGTTTGTTTTAAAATGATGTCTTCTCTCACCTACTTCCTTCCCCGACCTGTATCCTTTAGTTGCTGATGGAGACGGTGGACTCTGACATCCGAAGCTGCCCTCTCTGCCAGGTGGCCTTTCCCATCGGTTACCCAGATGACGCTTTGATAAAACACATTGATTCACACCTGGAGAACAGTAAGATCTGAGGCCTGCACACCTGCCACGCCCTTCCTCTTCCGGCTTCCTTAGTGAGACCCGTTCACCTCACTCACCAGGCCCCCCCCTCCCACCCACCCAACTTGGATGCTGCATGAAAAGTGGTGGGGCAACAGGGGCTCACTCTAAAATACCTCCAAGTCTCCAGTAGACTGAACCGGAAGAAGAGTTTTGCCTCTCCCTCTCCCTCTTCTCTGCCTTGGTTTCTAAAGTGGGTTTCCTCTTCCTCCTGCTCTTGAAGAGTAGGGCCTGCAATATTTCTCCAACGCTTGAACCAGTCGTGGAGGTTGTGGGGATAGGAGGCGAGAAATGCGCTTGGGCCAGGCTTAGCAGACAGAGCATGCCGCCGCCGCTCTCCATCTGAACGCTCAGAACCGAGGGCAGAGGATGACTCTTTATCTACGTGGTTCTGGTTTGGGTGTCTCTGGAAGATCTCAGGGTAGGAGAAATCTCTCGGGGTTGTGTGTGTGTTTTTTGGGGTGGGGCAGGGGAAATGGGCTGAGGAACTCTTGGTCTTGCTGAGGTGACAGCCTGGCACTCAGGTGAAAGAAATCGGAAGGTTTCGTTTTTGTGCCCCTCCCGCGAGCAGGAAAGTCCCAAGTGGGTCCAGTCTCCCTGCCTTTTCTGCTACTAAGGAGGACGTTCAGGTCTCACTCCTTGTTGACCATTAATTATCAGACACAGAAAGCCTTGGCCACCAACTGCTGGTTCAAGTGTCTTGGTCTTTTACATTAAAAGCCCACTTTAACGATGCTGCTGAGAAATAGAGCCAACTTCCAGAGGTGTAGCATGGATGTTCTTATGTTATTGCACTGGACATTAAAACACACGGAAGCTTTTTTCTTTCTTTGTCTTTTCCACAAAAGGAGCTGCTCCTCTCCTCCTCCTTGCTGGTCTCTTGTGAGTTGGCACTGGAGGAAATGTGCACTGCTGACTTGAGTCGAGCTCCAGAAAGCGTCCCCACGTGACTGTCTGTGTTCTCTTTTGGCGACTGTTCTTCCACCTTTCTCATGAAACAACTTCTCACCTTGCTTTGGGTAGTTAGTTCCAGTATAACAAGAAGTGTACTTGCCACATTCTGCGTCACTGTTCTCCTGCAATGACAGCATGTTGACACTGTTTTTGACAACTGCATAAATGTAAACACCCTTCTCATATTCTAACATCCACTGTTTCTCTCTCTCTCTCTCTCTCTCTCTCTCTCTCTCTCTCTCTCTCTCTGGCCTTACTGAGCATATCTTTCTCTGTACTGATCTAAAACAATTGGCATGTTTGGGTTCTTCTATTGCTTCCGGTCATAAGGTGCCTCCGTATTGTGAGAAGTGTCTCCTTGAACAGCCTGTCCATGAATCAGGCTTTGGTAAGACAAAACAAAACAAAAAGATCTGTATGGGACTTCTTCTCTTGAGGCAACTGTCTTCCTATCACCCCGTTCTTTACTAGCCAATGTATGTGCTGAGATTTATAGCCTGCCTTATCCCAAGGGCTCAGAATGCGCAGTGGCAGACAGGGATGGGTCTTTGTGGCTCACTGTCCAATCCATGTGGGAACTAAGAGGAGAATGGAATTTTTTAAAATGAAATGTAGAATTGAAAGGTTTCAGTTTTTTTTTATAAAAATAGCTCCTTTATTCCCTCTCCCTTATTCCCAGAAAACTATTAGCAGTCCACCCCAGTTCGTTTTTTCAAAGACTTCAGTCCATCACAAGCATACCATTTTCCTCCTCTTCCTATTCCCCATCCACACTATGATCTGTCACAATTGGCAATTCCTCCTTAGCATTATAACCATCCTTTTACTGAGCTCCTCTTCGGTAAACTAGATGTGGTGGCAACAGACCCATGTCTTCAAAGGTGAGTTGCTGCCAAGCCACTGCCAAGTGTGGGGTGGACAGGTGATTTCAAGTGAGGAAGTAGTTGGGCTGCAGGAGAAGAGGTAAGCCCATTTTTTTGCCCTATGCTTCCCTTCTGTCCCCCCTCTCCCTGGCCACATGCACCCACACCATCTTGGTTCACATTTGGAGCTGGCCTTCCAACATGGTCAGGCCGCATGCTGAACGAGAACATACCCACCTCCTTTGTCAACGCAGTCAGTGTTCTTGGATGCCAGTGCAGCCCTGCACTCCTCACTGTCCTCTGCCCCTCCCACCCCAGGACAGTTATGGGACTCTCTAGGTCAAGCTGCTTGATTGAGGGTTCCCCCAAAAGCTGGAACCAACCTCGCCCCCCTGAGATGCATTTAAAGGGACGAGGGGAGACAGAACAACTGTTGACTAGCATTCATGGATATCAGTCCTTGTGCGCTTGCAAGCCAAGTTATTGGTCTGATTCCCAGCCCATCATTTCCTGCCTGTCCCAAACAGAGGGAAAGCTCAGTTGGCTAGAGTGTGGTGCTGATGATGCCAAGGTTGCAGGTTTGATTCCCGTATGGGACAACTGCGTATTCCTGAATTCCTGATGATCCTCAGGGTCCCTCCCAACTCTGCAATTCTATGATTCTATGAAAGGTGTTTCATTGGAAGCTGAACCCCATGGACAGTCTTCAGACCCTTTGTCCGCCCCCCTTCAGTCTCCTCAAAGTCTCAGGGGCTGGACCCTTCTCTGCTTCCCTCTAGTAAGTAGCAGTGCAGAGGGGCGTTTGGGGTGTACCTCCTATTCATTACAATGATGCCTGCAAAGGAGAACTTCCAGTAAGCCAGGTCTATCAGTCTCCCACTCTGCTGCCCTTTAATGGTGCCCCAAATCAACCTGAGGCAAGTCTCTCGCTGTTCTCATGGTGTGGGCTGCCTCTGCTTCAGCCAGAGCAAGCCCACACTGTGCAATTTAGGGGAGTTTTTAATCATGTTTTATTGTGTTTTTAATATTCTGTTGGGAGCCCCCAGAGTGGCTGGGGAAACCCAGTTAGATGAGTGGGGTATTATTATTATTATTATTATTATTATTATTATTATTATTATTACCCATGCATCTCCCACATACTCTTATAACGAAGGGCTCTTATACCCATCACAGCTTCCACACGGAGACCCCACGTTTTTAATTTTTGGGGGTGAGTTGTTGCTACAAAACGGATCAGTTCAAAGCTCAGGCAGTACTATTGATGCCTCTGCAAATGGTCCCAATTCACAAAGGCTCTGGGTAGCATGGAGAAATGTAGTGGGCCATTGTACTCTCAGGCACAACTCACCCAATGGGGGTCTTTAAAGGGACTTCTGCTTGACAGTCATGTTGTGTGGACCTTCCCTTAACATAGAACCTGAAAATTAGCCACGGAAAAAACCTTCATCCACACAAATCACATTATTTCACAGATTATTTGGGGATTTTCTGAGTAGGAAGAGAGCCACGTTCTGTGGAGCAAGGCTGAAAATGCATCTCTTCCAACTTGTAACCTTTCTTCCATTTCTCTATGTGAAATCTACCTCAGAGTTTATGAGAAGCAGGAATGATAATCAAGCAAAAAAAAAGGGGGGGGGAGCTGTTGGGTGATGGGAAGGTGTTTTTTTTTAATTATTCTTCTTTTCTGTAGCCTGCCATAACCTAAGGGCTCAAATATTACCCAGATATTTTCCTTTGCCCTAAAGCTTCACAATCTTTTAAAAAAACCCCAAAACGGAACCAAAAAACTCAAGCAGCAATGGTAAAAGGGGGCAGCAATGCCCATGAATAGATGAAAGTCATTTGCTACCAAGAACCTTCATACCTGTTAGCATAGAGTGGTGGCTAAGCTGCTGAACTGCAACCTAGAAGGTCCTTACTTCAAATCTCATCTTTGCCATGGACTCGTTAAGTAGCCTTAGGTAAGGCCAAAGAAAATCCATTCTCATTGTGTCCATGAACACCCCACCCTACTGATCCTCTGAGAAATGCACAGGGAATTGTTTTAGAAGAATATAAACATGAGGCTGACAAAGAGTATTCTTGTTTCTCTATTAGGCACTACTATTATGCACCATGGTTCATTCTGCAAGTCTGTTTGACAATATCTCCCACATAAAAAGTTATGTCTTTGGCCCTACAGACCATTGTAAGTGCACAGTTGAGGTGTGGTAGTCACACGGCCACCATCATATACCCCCTAGGGTACCAATATAAACTCCTGGTTCTGTTTGTACAATTGGTAGCATGAGCTGGAAGTTAGATCTATCAGTGACTTGGCCATGATAGGTAAGCGATACTTCCATGCTCAGAAGTATCACTTCAGAAGTGGTATACCACGAATACCACGTCCTGGGGGGACAAACAGTGAGAGAGGACTGTTGGTCCCCATCCCCCCAAAAAGGAAAGTGTCCTGTAAGGGACATTTGCAGATGGTTGCCACTTTCTGAGTGGGATTCAACTGCAGACCTGCAAATTCAAGTGAAGCGATGATGAAATGTGTCGAGAAGTATGGGATAATAGTTGCTTGATGCACTATCATATAACTGCCCTACAAACAGGTCAGAATGAGTGGTCAATAAACAGCTGATGGCTTATAGCCTCCCTGCAATCAAATCAGGAAGAATGCTCAAGAAATGGGTCATGTGGAAGTGATCCTGGACTAGGGAGGTCTTAGCAGTGCTTAGATTGATCTTTGGGGCAGGTTTTCATCTTAGCATGATGTGTTGACCTTTAAACGTAGTATCATCGTGGTCCCTTGCTTGTTCTCACAATGGGCATGGTTAAAGTATGGGTGACTCATTCCACACACTTCACAGTGCATGTTTATGCGAGTGTCCTTCCAGCCTCCTTGTTTGTTTTATGTCTTTTGTTCCATATCAATTTAACGCAGATACCAATTGCTAATACAGATTAGAATCTCCACTCCAAATGCCTTTTGAAAGTGTAGCCCTTCGCTTGCCACTATTTATAATGCTGCTTACAAAACAAATATAAAGTTGGGTAAGTGTGTTAAGGAGTAACTGATTCATGTTAAGTGCTCTTGTGAACAAGCTCCCCAATTGCTGTAGCTTATGAACCCCCTCATCTTTCTCCTTAGTATTTTTTTTTCCTTAGAAGAAATGCATTATTTGTTACGTCACTTGTTAGTCAGAAAATAGACATCTCTGCTCTAGCCCCCATCTCTCCAGCTTGATTGCCCCAAATGTGAAGATGCAAGGAAGGCCGCCTTAGATACTTGGCTGTGGAAAACCCTCGGGAGAGAGATTGGTCTGTCTGTATTGTTCCCATCCCTTTCTTTGGTGTGTGTGTGTGTGTTTTCCTTCTGAAGAGACTCTGTGCTCTGTGGTTCAGAATAACTCCAATAAAAGTTGCCAATTGGTGAACATTTTCATTCATGGCTGTGTGTTTCTTGGGTTGGCAGTGGAATGTAGGAAGCTGGCTTACATAAAGCCAAACCTCTAGTCATTCTACCTCAGTTTTGTCTATTGCACCAGTTTTCCTAAGCCTTGGGTCCCTAGATGTTGGACTACAAGTCCTGTCATCCACAGCCAGTCAGAAACTTGTAGTCTGACAATACTAGGATGCAAGGCTGAAGAACACTAACAGCAGGTCTCCAAGGTTTCAGGTGTCCCCCCCCATACACACCTTTTTCAGCACACCCAATTCCGCCACTTTCCCCCCCACTTTTCCATTTCTCCCCAAACAACTTCTTCTTTTTTCCTCAACCCTTTTGTACTTGTACAACCTTCCTGCAAGCTTGGTGATATCCCCATCATTTGTGGGTGCTACTGTTTCAGCTTCATGATGTAGAAAAGAAATCAATGTTTGTGCCAGGTAAATTTCTCTGTGGAGAGCATTCCCCGCCCAGGGTGCCACGATTGACAAGTTCCTGTCTCCCACCTAACTTCAGAAAGGGGTGGGGGGAGCGGCTCAGGTGAAGAATGCAGACTTCTGTGGAAGAAGACAGTCCTCTAAGTATTGCTCTGTTATGCTCAGGGATACCTAATACATATCAAATCTGGAGCAGCACTGGACCAAGATGCTTTGGTGATGGGAAATCCATGCAGCACGCTCTCCCACTCATTAATAGGTGTCACAGTCCTGTGGGAAATTCTCCTGCACAGGTCTTATTGAAATGAACAATATCTGTGCAAGAGAAAGGCTTCTGGGTTCCTCTTTCTTTCAGTGGGGCTTGTGCACAGGTGGGGATGGGCAAAAAAACTCAATTTGGCTGGAAAGCACAATTCAGAGTGAATTCTGAAGGATGGCTGTGTTTCGGCTAGCGTATTGTTTTGGAGCGTGCAAATCAGGCAGGTTCACCCTCAAGTGTTAACAGAATAACATTTCTTCCCCCATTTATATATACACAGGTGACCTTCTTGGTGGTTTTTGCCCCATTTGTCTCCCAATCTGCTTTCCTTAATGGCTCAGCAGGTCCACTCCTTGAGGAAGCCATATCCTCTTGACATGTGACAGCACCACTTCTGCCCTCATGAGTTTGTAACACGTATGTGGGGAGTGTCATTTTTGGCTTCTGATCTCTGAGGTAACCATCTCTGATAACAAAATGGGGCCCCAGCAATAAGCAGCGCTTCTGAGGTTTAGGAAGTTAATAATACATATACCCACAAAACCTCCCTTGTTAGTTTCAAGCACTGTTTCTAAAAGTTCAAAAGAAGACTTGAGGTTTTGATGAAAATCAGAAGAATGGCATGGGGAGGGGGTGATTTTTTTTTTAAACTTAAATTTATAGCCAACTTGCAGCTAATTCAAGGCCAGCAAAAACAACAACAACAACATCTTCACACAACGTATAATTAAATTAGGGACTTCACTAGCACATCATGTGCTCATGAATGCCGTAACTTCATGACACATCTTTGGGAAGACGTTCTCTTCCCCGCCTCTCCCTTATTTTGCTCTTGACCGTTTGGTCTTTAATCACGGTGCGGCCACCTCTGATCTAGAGCAATTGTACAAAGCTGTTGGGAAGATGGAAAAGATGTTGGGAAGCTTAGATACTGCAAAAAGAAAAGTGAAAGAAATAGCACAATCCCACACATGGTTCTATTCAGAAGTAAGTTCTGCTGTAAACAATGGGCTGTTGTTAGTATCTTGAGAAGGGTGGGAGTGGCTGGAGATGGCATATGACCTGAGGGGACTCTCAGGCCAAATATGTTTGGAGGGACACATTTGGTTCCTGGGCCTGTGGAATCTACCAATTATATTAAGTCAGACCATTGGTCCCATCTAGTTCCATACTGGTAACACTGATTGCGGCTCTCCAGGGTTTTCAGGCAGGGGACATTCCCACACCTACGTGGAGATGCTGGGATTGAAACTGGGACTTTCTGCATGCAAAGCAGGGACTCTTGCAGTGACTTTCCCCTGGTCCATATGCAATGTGGGAGAAAAAAGCAACTGAGCTCAGCGAAAGAGGGGTATGCATTTCCTTAAACGACCTCATGATTGGATTACTGCAATGTACTCTAAATGCAGCTAACTCTTGGGGTTGGTCCAGGAGTCAAAGTTGATGAAGGATGTGGCAGCTAGGTTGCTTGTGGGGGCAAACTACCACCAGCATCCTGCTTGCTGGATTTGAACCAACCGCTAATCTGCTTCCAGGCCATGTTCAAGGTGTTGGTACTGTAAGATATAAGTACAGTGGTACCTCGGGTTACAGACGCTTCAGGTTACAGACTCCGCTAACCCAGAAATAGTACCTCGGGTTAAGATCTTTGCTTCAGGATGAGAACATAAATCGCATGGCAGCAGTGGGAGGCCCCATTAGCTAAAATGGTACCTCAGGTTAAGAACAGTTTCAGGTTAAGAACGGACCTCCAGAACGAATTAAGTTCTTAACCCAAGGTACCACTGTACTAACATGTAAATCTCTATACAGCTCAGGACCAGTAGGTAATTGTGGCCTGCAAGAAAGTTTCTCTCGCAAGTTTGAAAGATCTCAGAAGCCCACTCTACAGCAGCTTGGAGCAGGGCTTTTAGCATGGCTGCCCCTGTTCCGTGGAATAGCATTCCTGACAAGATATACGAGGTGCCTACTATCTGCACTTTCCAGAAACAATTGGAGGCATTTTGTTCTGGATAAACGTGGTTGCTCACCACAAGTGCCCGCTTGTTAGGGTCTTCGTATTGCGCCAAATGTATTTGTTGTTTTTCTTTTTAAAATTATCTTACATGTACTTTGTTTTCAGGCGGTGGTTTAGAAGGCGATTAATAAAGCAATAATTAATTCATTATAAATTCAAATAATAAATTGATCAAGCAACATTAATAAGTCGCTCAAGTCACGCGTCTGCATTTGTATCTATTTGCACAAATCTTGATAACTGGCTGTACACAACAGGACAATTCCTCACAAACTCTTCTGTTTTCGAAATAGCATCTGTTATTTTCATAATGATAAAAACATGCATAAACATTACAGAACTAATGCAGCGTATCAGAGCCAATGAGGTGCATCACATCATCTCGTCTACCCTCTGAATTTCCTAGTTCTGCTGAAAGTCTTTGCTTCCCCTTTTAGACTGTCCTATTTCTTATTACCCCACCCCAAATGTGTGTGTGTGTGCGCACACACACACACACACACACAGAGAAAACATTTTGTTCTAAGATTACCAGCGTGTGAAAACTACCACAGTAAATCTGAAACAAAACTGAGATCAAGCTGATTCAAGCATTGCTGCTGTCATTTTGCAACGGGGCTGCGTAACACCCCCCCAAGGCAAACAAAAAGGCTATACAGTACCCATAATGCCTTCCCAGAGCAAAAGGGTTAAGAACGTAAGAAGAGCCCTGCAGCTGGATTAGGCCAAAGGCCTGTCCAGTCTGGCATCCTTTCCCCCAGCCAGATAGTAATGGAAAGCTAGCAAGAAGGACATTATTTCTGCATCACAGGGGGTTGGACTAGATGATCCTTGGGGTCCCTTCCAACTCTGTGATTCTATGAAGGGCAATAGCATTACAGACTGGGGTCCCTCCAACTTCTACCTGGAGATGCCAAGGATTGAACCTTGGACCTTCTGCAGGAAGAACAGTTCTCTACCACTGAGCCCTTGATAACTGTATCTTCCACAAATGTGTCTCTTCCCCCTGTAAATCCATCTAGGCCAGTGGTTCCTAGTTGGGGGTCTGCAGACACCAGGGAGTCCATTTAACCCACCCAAGGAGTCCATGGCACCATCCACATAACAAAAGCTACCATAGAGATATCAAAACTAGGGAGGTCCATGGCTTGGCTTTTGGGGAAAAACGGGGTCTGCAGTACTTAGATAACTGAGAACCACTGAACTTGGCTAAAGGCCATCATTAGTTGAGTCAGACACAGAGAAGAGGACAAATTCAAACTGGGGACTCGCTGTTTCATAGCGTTTAGTCTCTTCATCGCTATACTGCACCACCTAGATAAACTTGTGGCTTTTAACAACTAATATAATCTGAATTGCAAAACTATCTTGGTCTGATTGTTGCCGGAACTCAAGATGGAACATCTCCCTTGTTCTCTCATAATGGCAATGGAGCCCACCTCAGAGGTGCCAGAACTGAGTTCAGGCTGAAAAAAAAGCCCTAGATACACAAGCTTGTTAAAGCAAATAAATAAATACAAGGGAGTAAGCCTCCACAGACCACTGTAAGACTTATTTCCAAGTAAACGTGAGCAGGAGTTTGCAATACTGTATAGAAACACAACACATATTTTAAAAGGGGTGTTTGTGCCTCAACGGCATGCCAATGTGAAGTATCTTTTGTCAATTTCCAGAAAGTTTAAAAAACTTTATACTAGGTATCTGAGGTGGCACTTCAGCAGAACATCACACGCTTTCTCAGTGCTAAGTCAAGCATATCTTTCTGCCATATTTTTGGGGGCAGAGGGGGATTTTTGCCTTCTAGGCTTATAGCACCAGGCACTTAACTATTAATAAACACTTGATGCTGGTTGTGGTATTTGGATAGTCCCCCAACAGCCGGAATTCACAAGGTTATTTTGAAGGAAGGTGAGGACAGGTAACCCCACCTAGGCCCGAAGTCACACACCCCCCAGTGGCGTAGCGTGGGTTGTCAGCACCCGGGGCAAGGCAAGTAATTTGCGCCCCCTAACCCGTGGATTTGCGCCCCCTAACCTGTGGATTTGCCCTAACCTCAGATGTTGCGGCCGGTGCGGCCGGCCCCCCTGCACCCCCCACGCTACGCCACTGCCCCCCCCAAAGCAGGCTCAAAGCTTCTCAAAGCTTTTCAAAATCATTTTCTCAGCAGCTAAGCATCTGCTCATTTGCTCTGCTGTTCCAAGGCAAAATGTTATTCTTTTATCAGTACAAGAAGGCTTCAAAAAGCTAATGAATAGGCTCTGTTCAGAGCAGGCCTGAGAACTGACTTT